GCGCTCTTCGGCGACCTGCGGACGCTGAAGGAAAAGCTGATGCAGGTGCTGGGCATGGTCCGTTCCAACGAGGAGGCGACGCGGAAGCTGGAGGAGGCCATCCAGAACAATGAGGTGCAGTCCCTCCGCATCACCAGCGACGACCTCCGCCGCCTCGTTCTCGAGGCGGTGGCATACGGGTCCTTCCCTTAGCTAGCTGCCTCAAGACGCGCGTTTTGAAACGCAACGCGTACCGTGCTTTGAACCATCATGTCAATACTTTACGTGTTGGCTCAGCGTATGGGCCCACGCGAACGCGTCGCGTTAGACCCACGTGGTCAGCCTGCGTGCTGAGCTCCGTGTCCACACGCTTTACGTGCTGCATCGGGACAACTGAGGTCCCTCCTGAACGACTCGGAGATCGGCGGCCAGCGAGGGGGGGAGTGATAAGGAAAAGGCCTTCTCAGAAGGCCCTGAAGCCCCCTGGCCTTCTGAGAAGTGTTTTACGCCTTCCCCGAAGACACAAACAACTTCTCAGAAGGCGCGAGGGTTTTGAGAAGTCCCCCGCCTTCTGACAGGGCCTTCTCCTTCTCACTTCCCCGCCTCGCTCGCCGCCGAGGAGAAGCAGACCGATTCCTTCTACGAGCTTACGCCGTCCAGTCGGCCGATGGGCGCCATCATGGGGGACGACGAGGACGAGGGCCGCTACCTCTCGGAGTGAGGCCCCCGGTGCGGCCCTCGCGGGCGCCGCCGCGGGGATCTCCCGTCGAAGGCAGCCGGCAGCCCGTGCTCACCTGGCATCGCGGCAGGGAAACAAACCGCCCTGGATCGAATAGTACAATCGGACCGAGATAAAGGATCGAGGTCGGTTCGGGGAGGGTGCCCTAGTGTTATTCGTGCTTGTTGGATGTTCTTGTGCATCCTGGGGAGAGAACCCTTGGATGTTCTGTTTGTTTTTGCCGACGGAGGGTCTCATGTTCTTGACGGATGTCTTTCTGGCCTAGGTCCGACTGTAAACAATTGCACTTGCATCGTTCGGACGTGTGTGTTTTTTTTCTGGGCGAGGACCCTCGATGAGCATCCTGGTTCATCGAGCAGAACAAAAACACATGCACGAAACCGAAGAATGCACAGGGAATGGACGTCCGAGCAACGGCAAGTGCATACATTAGACCGATGTGCTTGAAGGTTCGCGCGGACTTCTCGGATCTGTTTTGGGACCCCCTTGAAGACGCCTCCGGTTTCGCCAGGGGGGTTCAGCGCCGATCCAATAAATCTGCGAACGCGAAAGCGAGAGTCCGATCGAGCGCCCTAGGATGTCTCGTCCTGCTTGTGGGCACGACGCGCTTCATGCAGAATTGGAAGAGAGAGAGAGAGAGACAGACAGAAAAGGGGGGTATGTATGCAGCGAATGAAAAGACATATTCAACACTCCCTCATGTGTTTTGCCACACGACACCTTTGTACATCGTCATTGCTTGTTTCACTCTGCGTTTGCATTGATGCCCGGCATTTCTCAGGACTCGGAAGCAGCTTTGCGAAACCCCGTGAAACGTCGTAACATTTGCTTCCAGATAGGGGTTTTCATTCTTCTCTGTCGTGCAGTTGGCGTCGTTGTGGCAAGGCTGTAGACTGCCGTCGGCGTGAGTACGCTCTCACATAGCTTCAGGTGCATATTCGGCGACACGCGCTTGTCGACACTATTTGTCTGAAGCAAGTGCAACTTCAACCGTGCACACCATGTTCGACATTCTAAGTTGCACGCGCCGCGTTTTCTGATTTTTCCGTGGGATCATTTCCCTAAGTTTTTGTGTAAGTCCCGTTTGTAATTTCACTGGCAGATTAGAGCCATCCACTTGCAATAGCTTGGGTTCTCAACCGTGGCAATTGCAGGGTCGTTCGTCAATACCTTGGTCTTGGTCGCACTCAGCTCCAGACCAACTTGAGACAGTTCTTGACGGAGAGTGGCAAGCATTTGGAAACGGTGTCAGGCGACTTGCTATAAGCAGTGTCGTCTGCATACCGTACGTTGGTCCACAATGTTGTTTCCCAAGGTCAAGTTCCATGCCGAGAGCGTGATCTTTACATCAACGCAAGTCTTGCTTTAAATCTGCATTGAAATAAAGCGGGCGCAAAACGCTGTCCTGTTTGACCCCCCGATTGATGTCGAAATGCTCGTATCCCGATCAAACATGTACGTGTGGGATATGAAGGTCGAGGTTCTTCTTTTCTCATGCAATGTCAAATGCTTCGGGCGCAACTCACCTTTGGCGAGCCAGACAAGACAGAGCTTGACAACCGGATATCAATGGGCTGGAGAGAATTTATGGGGCACAGGCAAGAGTTGACAAACAATGGATACTGTTTGAGGGATCGTTCGGTGTTTTTTGTCGTGGTCGTCAAGCTCACACTATTGTACGGCGCAGAAACCTTGACGGTGACAGTATATATGGAGCGGATATTGCAGAAATGTCAGGGAGGCATGTTGCGGCTCATCCTTGGACACCGGAGGCGACGAACCTGGATTGGTGGCATTGCAGATGGAGAAATAGAGCCTTGGGTGGATTGGATCGCGGGCAGCCGAGGCAACAATGTAGCATATGCAGGCCGGTTGGTTGACAAACACAACAGAGGACGTCCGTAGCCATTTTGGCTCAAGCCATTTTGGCTGAAGTGGCAATATCGGGAATCCCCCCGTCTCGAGGTGGCGAGGCGGCCGCGTGCGAGCGTGACCACACGCGCTCGCCCGAGCAGGTCACGCTTTCCCTTTTTTTTCTACACAAGCATTTTGCTACCGTAATTCCTTCCCCTTGTCTCTTTTTCCATTTCCTTGTCTCGATGGCAGCGGATGCGCCTGCTATCCTGGCGGCGATCGGGTCGATGAAAGGTGAACTCCTCGGGGCGATTGGTCAGACCAACTCCAGGACCGACCAGATCGAACTACAGCTTCAAGAATTGCAAGTGCAACAGGTCTCTTCGGTGCATGAGATGCAGCAGCTCGCGTCGACTATGTCTGCCTCGTGGGGGGCTCGTTTCCGAGAGATCATAGGGACTGCAATGGATGCGGATGACGGTGATGGCAATGTGGTAACTGGTGATCGTACATTGACGGCGGCGCTGGAGGCGAAGATGAATGATAAGTTCAAAACGATTCAGGAACAGCTTGAGGCACTCTTCTCGGCCAGTGTCTACTCCCGCGAGCTCAGATAGTGGAGTTAGTCGTAAGCGTCAGGCGCCCTCAAGCATTCCTGACAGCCTCCTAGACTCCAATGTCGCCCCTGAGGCAACGGATCAGCACAACCCATGCCGCGTGTGGATTGGAGGTTGGCCGGGAGAGGTCCTGTCACAATACCGCAAGGAACATTGGGAATGGTACAAGACTCAGGCTCCGCAGGAATACGTTGTGAATGCGAATCCGATCTTCCAACGTACCAGCCGCTCGCACACTGTTGTTTCTCCCCACCATCCTTGACCGACGACCGAGATCGCGCCAAACAGTTTCCAATCCGTGTTCGTGGCGACATACCTCTTCCCGCCCGTCTTCGCACATCGATCGGCCCTCTCGGTTCTCTGGGAGCCAGTGAAGGTCAAGCTCATGAATAAAGGTCTGTGGTCCACCTCTATCCGAATGAGATGCTCTGAGCACGGGCCAGGCCGCTTCCAGATACCGTCTGACTCTGACTCGCGGACGTTGTTTTCGCTGACGGCAGAGGAAGGCCAGTTCGCTATCGCTCCTAATCGAGAGGGGCTCTATCATTGGAAATTCACACACGCACGCGGAATTTAATTTCGTTATCGATATTGCCACTAAGAACGAGCGCTACATCTAGACGACGGCCACACGGGTCCCAAAGACTGATAGGGTCTCGCCAGACCAGATGAGTGGAGGGTTCGCCAATCCTGTGGTTGGCTGCGCCCCAGCAGGGAGAAGTGAGTTTCCCAGTTTTTCCCGTCTGCCATGGCCTGTTTTTGCGAGCGCACCGTGCGATGCTCCTGCTCGGGGGTATGATTTTCCTTTCTGCCCTCCCTCCCCCTCCTCAATGTGTACGCGGAATACTGGTGGGTTGTTCATGCCGGTTCAATCTATTCGTCAAGACCGTTCGCAGAGGAAGATGATCATGTTTGAGTCACTTTGCATTCGCATGATATCATTGCTACCCAAGAAACCCACGGAAACCCTGGTGACATGGATCATCTCATGCTCCAGCTCCCGTCCCACTCCTTTGGCTACTCGTTATTCCCCAACTGCGTTGGCGCGGGCGGCTTCATCGCGGCGGTGAGCAAACCTTTTGCCAGCAATTTCAATATTATGGAGCACCGCTCGCTGATGGATGGTCGTGTGCTACTTACGTCCTGCTCTGGACCTCTTGGTGGGTGCAACATTGCCAATGTGCACATGCCCAACACCTCTGATTCCTTTCATGTCTACCTCTCTGTTCTCCGTCTCCTGCGTCAGGAGGTTTCGACGCCTGCTGGGCATTTCCTTGTATTTCTTCGCGACTGGAATTGTACGTTAGAAGGCGAGGGCCGTCAAAAAGCGCTCGGTGGTCTGCGGTGCCCTGGGGGCCGCCGTCGCGCGCAGGTTTTCCAATTTCCTGTTTGATCTCATTGAGTTTTACCAGGAAATGGATACGCGTCGGGCCATTGTAAACAACATGATTGACCACGCGGCGCGCCTCGATCGGATTTATTGTTTTATGCCCAGCGCTATTTTTTGCTGACCGAAGGATCTCTACGACGACGATGGGCCGTCTGCGGATTGCTATGTAGTCTGACCATATTCTTGTTGTATGTCATGTCGTTGCCTATCGCCCTGTCCCGACTGAAAGCGAGAATATCCCGCTTTAGCTAGCGAAGTCGCTAGGGTTTGCGGAGGAGCTGGATCGACTGCCCCTATCGCCGCCGGTTGCCGCTACCTGCCCCGCCCGTCTTGCGTGGACTAAAGACTGCGCGCAGGCCGCTGCCACGCGGGCTAGGCGCCGCATGAAGCTGCGCCAGGCCTCCACGTTTGAAGAGCGCCATCATTGGTCGATGGTTGCTCTTCGAGGGCTACGCCTTCAAGAAATCAAGTTGATTGAAAACGCCCTTCCGTGCAAACCCGAACTTTCGGAGCTAATTGATGGCGCCTCTCTCGTCTGCGTGGCTTTGAATGCTCTCTGTCTCCAGGATGAGCGGCGTGAGAAAGCAGGGCCCCGCACGATGCCGGGCGTTCGATTCTGTCGAACATCTTTGCAAGTCCACTCTGGCAATCCACGGCTTGCGGCTCCATTCCCCGGATGTTTCACAACTTTCTCCTACACTTGCGAACGCATCATCGCGGATTTCCGGTCGGGGGCCGACTTGATCAGCGGCGCGCCGGGCATCGCGCGTTGGTTGGGTACGCGCGAAAACGAATCATTGGTCGGCGGTAGAAGGAATCTGCGCGCACGTCGAAATTGCTCGCGTTTGTGCAATGCGGACAGGGGGAAGTCAGAGGGGGCAGGTCTTTTCAGAGGGCGGCGGGGCTTCTCAGCAACCCTCCTGCCTCGCGAGAAGCCGCCTCTGCCTTCGGAGATGGTTCGTGCCATTTCTCCAGGGGCCGGAGGCCTTCCGATCCTTCTGAGCGGGCCCTCCCCTTCGACATTGCGGACGGCGTTGGGGCGAGGGCGAATCCGTGCCAGAACGCTCTGAGACGGTCGCGGCGCCCGAGGCGTCCTCCAGAGCCGCGGGATCTCAGAGATTCTCGATTGTCCTCTTCCGATGTTGTCCTCGTTCCCCCCGAAGGGGTCGCCGACGAAGGGTCTGAGCGCGATCGGCTCCGGCGTCGAGCCTGGTCCTGTCTGGCGAGGTCCTCCCTGCGCCCCTCGGCCCTGGGCGCCCTTTGAGCGTCCTCGCTGCCCCCTCGGCCAGCGCGGCGCTCTCGTCGTGGCCTCCTTAGTGAGGTTCGAGTGCGAGTGGGTGGGGTCGAAAGAGTGCTCCGCGTCGCCCCAATCCTCGGCGATGCGGCTCGATGTGGGGCCCGATGTGCGTCGCGTCGACGTCGCCGATGGATCGCCGACGTCGACGGCGCATCGCCGGTTCATCGCCAATACATCGCTGATGCATCGGCGATGCGGCGCGACCCCCCGACCCCCGACCCAATTTGATGTCACTTTGTGATCAATACATGAGGCCCCTCCCTGGGCGCAAATGAATAGACCCCGCGGGGTGCGCAACATATTTTTTACTCACGCGCGCCAGGGGGTCGTCGCGGGCACCGCCGAGGGGATCGTGTCTTCCCCTGCGTGACAGCATCAAAACGATTGTTTTTTCGTAAAGAGGTTGTTATGGGAGTCGTATGCATCCGAGACGGATTCTTTTCCCCCTCTCAGGCGTCGTCGTCGTCGACTATAGCTGGCCTGCGCAGCACCCTCCCCCCAAAGGGCATCCGCTCCGCAGTGCGTCGTCGCCGTCCGCCGTCCGTCGTCCACGTCGTCGTCGTCCTCGTCCTCCTCGTCATGGTCGTCGTCCTCGTCGTCGTCGTCGTCGACTACACGGGGCCTACTCGTCGTCGTCGTCGTCGTCGTCGTCGTCGTCGCCGAGTACAGACAGACCACGACAAACGGTGTGAGGAGGACTGCCCGGTTTGTTCGGGTCGGACGAAAAGGGTGAGGAAGGAAAAGGGGGTGCGAAACCTGTTGCGCGCGCCTGGTTTCGGTCGCACCGCCGGGGGGCCAGTCCTCGATGCATGGCCGCTTTCGGCGCCAGGAGGCGCTTGGAAAATCAGCAACGCCAGCTGCGTGGCCACACCCCTCTTTCGTCCAGCCCGCTTTGGTCGCGGCCAGGGCAAATGAGGCGCATCGGTTCGACATGAAAAAACACGGACAGTGCAGGGGCGAGCGCCGACAGCAATTGTTTTTCATTTCGAATAAGTGTCGTCCTGGCTCACGGTTCTTGCTTTTGCCGCCCTTGCCTCCCGCCCCTCCCCCGCTTTCCCCCAGTCTGTTCTGTTTTTGTTGTTTTCTCGCTGGCGGCCGGGTGTCGGCGGTAATCAACGGCGCGCCGCCGTTGTGCTTCAATTCGGCGGGCGCCACCCCCGCGATTCCCCCGAGCAGGGACTTTTGTTTAATACAACACGCGCTCCCCAAAGATTTGTAAATCACGAACTGACATTCGGAGGCCTCTATTTTGGCCTCTTGCACCTTTTGGCCCTTGGAGACGACGACGAATTCGCACCTCGGGCAGATTCGGTGCGCAGAGCAACCAAGAACGCGGAGGGTGTTCTCACGAAGCTGAATATACGCATTGATGCCTGGATACCGGTTCAAAGACAAGAAATGCGGAATTGTGTTCGGACAGCTGTCGCATCGGCTGATTCGAAAGGATGATTACCTCAATGTTGTGGAATCCAGAAACAGAGCCCCATTGCGACGCCCGGAGGCGACAGGGCATCCCTAGAAAACATTGGTCCGACGATCTGCGGGATAGTGTCCGTACATCTGCACACAGCCATACCAATCAAGATTGGACTGATGTTGCTAAGACAGACTGTTGGGCAGTGATTGAGGGAGAATTTGCCAATAGATGATCGGATGAGCAATATCAGACCGCTGTGTGGTTTTCTCGTTCGCGTTCCTCTGTCGCCTCTCCTGTCGTTCGTCCTTTTCCTTCTCCCTCGGCCTCGCCTCCCATACTCGCTAGCCGGGCGTCCCTCCCTCCCTTCGCGCGGCCTTCCCTTCCCCCTGCGGGACGTCACAGTGATGCCGCCACCCACCGGCGAAGAGACCGCAGAACCCGGTATATTGAATTTTTGTATGGTGCCGCTCTTGGATGGTGCCGTTCTTGTCTCATACGATGGCGCCACGGCGCGCGCTTGCAACGCCCCCGTCGGCGTACACTTTCAGGTCCGAGTCCGAGTCTGAGCCCTCGTGGAACGTGGAACCATCTTGGGCGCCCTAACCCCTCGCGAACCGCCCCCTCTAGACCGACGGGAAGGGGCGTGAGGAATTTGTGACAAACCCCTTTTTCGAAGGGAAACAAGGGGGCTCGAGGAGGAAGCGTTCTAGATCATCTCACTCAGCCCAGAAGGCCAGTGATATTCAGCCAAGCAGGTTAGAATATTGCGCACGAAGACTTCCAATGAATTGTGTAGTAATCACAGATCCAAGGACCTGATGTTTCAATCTGAAGTCCCCGGCCTTCTCCCCAGAGGCCGTTGTCCTTCCCTGATCAATGTTTGATGTCCCTGGGGCCCGACAGCGGGGCTTGGAGGCTGAAATTGGGAAAAAGACGCCAGCGTTGCGAGGATGCATCGTGTGTGTCACCGTTGACGGGGCATGTGATCGAACCGTGTCTGGAATGCGCACACATTCACCACGGCTTCGAAAGAAGTCTTTGATGGAGGGGTGGGGCGTGTAGTACGCATAGCATTTGCGGCGAGGATGAGGGCAGCGCGGCCCCCGCCTCCCAGGAACCATGGCCCCCCTCCCGCGCGCTCGCGCTGCGCGTGGGCGCGTGGGTGCCGCGGGCCGCGGCTCCAGCGGTGGGCATGGCCGGCGCGGGGTCCCCTGCTGCGACGGCGAGTACCGTCCCTGAAGACGAGGCCCGTGGCGGGGCTGGAGGGGGGTGCTCCCGTTGGGGATCACCCTCCTGGATGTGGCGGTTCTGGGCGCGGGGGGCTCCTCTTGCGCTCCCCGCCCCGGCTTGTTCTGAGCCGTCCGTGTGTTGGGCATTGTCCCCTGCAGTGGGAAAGGACATTTGGCACTTCCCTGCGACCTTCGAGGGGAAGCGCCCTCGGAGTCGAAGCGCAGTTCCCTTTGAGAGGAGAGTAAAGGAAGGAAGCAGGCCGAGGACATGTTGGCGAAGGAGGAGGGGGACGAGGAAGAGGAGGAGGAGAAAAAGGAAAAGGGCACAAAGGCAGCGGGAGGAGAGGCGAAGGGTGAAAGACGTGTTGCCTTTTTGCTCCTTCCTGGCTGCCGCAGCTCCTTCTCCCGGCTACGGTACCTCCGCTCAGGGGTACGGCTGTGGCGATTACTGGGTTGGGGTTCCCCAGGTACCGTCGAGGCGGTCTGTTGGCTCGGAAGGCGACCAGGGAGCAGCAGGAGGAGCAGCAGGCCCGAGGAGGGGCAGCACGAGCAGCAGGAGCGGGAATTAGTTGGCTCTTGGCACTTTTTCGATGCGCCCCTTCGCGCTCCCGCCCGGGCGCCGCAGCGCTGGCCCTCCCCACCCGACTGCCTTCTGGTCGTGGTCGTCTCGTGCCTTCGGCCGCAGCGCATCGGCGCGCCACGCCTTTGCCCTCAGACGTGCAGCGCCAGGGCAGCGTTGTTAAAAAGGCGGCGGCGGCGGCCATGTAGGGGCGACGGCGGCATCCACGCCAGCGACGGCGGCGGCCGCGCCCGTGCGGAGGCCCAGCACTTCCAGGGCGACGGCGGCTACGTTGGCGATGGCGGGGTGGCGCTCGAGCAGCTCTGGGCTTCTCTGCCGTGGCCCGCGCCCACCCACCCTCCCTCGGCGCCAGCTGCCTCATCGGGGGGAGGAGGCAGGAGGAGAAGGGGAAGGAGCAGCGGCGCTCTGTGTCTATGTCAAAACAGGTGTCCTCCTCATCCTCCTCATCATCCTCCTCTTTCCACCTTCTGCCACGCTACAGTCACTCTTCGTGCCCCCTCCTCTGACCCTCCTCTTCTTCCTCCTCCGCTCCCTCCTCCGCTCCCTCCTCCTCTTCCTCCTCCTCCTCCTCCTCATCCCCTTCCTCCTCTTTCCGCCTCCTCTGGGCCCGCCTCATTCTCTTCCTGCTCCTCCTCCGCACATTCCTCGTCCTCCCCTTCCTCTCATTATTCCTCCTCCTCCTCCTTCTCCTCCTCCTCCTCCTCCTCTTTCCCTCCCCCCCATGGCCGACGCCAGGAGGGAGATCCGCAACTGCCCCGGGCGCTACACGACGTCCGACCGCGCCGCGCGCGCCGAGGCGCCCCCCTCCCCCCTCCCGCGGCTCTGGGTGGTTCCTCGGGCGCTCTGCTCGGAGGGCTCCTCGGGCTCTGCTCTGTCGTCGGAGGCTGTCGCGGGGGTCGAATAGGGGATCGACAACAGAATCGATGTACTCCAAGATTAGTTGCCCCACCGAATGAATGAATGTGTGTGTGTGTGTATATATATACATATATATATATATATATATATATATATATGTATCGGAGTAGGCCGGGGGAGGGCCCCCCAGAATTGCGACCACTGGTTCGCATGGGGGGCCGGGGGGGCCTTGAGGGCTCCAAGAGGGTTCAGAAAGGGCCCCGGACCTCCCCAGAAGCTCACAAGCTGGCCCAAGAGACGCCAAAAGCGCCCCACAGGTTGTCTGGAAGGTGGCTGAAGAGCGCATCGAGATGGCTTCCGGACGGGCCACGAGCGCTCGAAGACAGCCCAAGATTGCTCCTAGACAGCCACAAAGGCATTCAAGACAGTCCAAGAGGCCGCCGAGAAGGCCTTCCAAGGGCAAACATCAAGCATTTCCTATGAAAAAAAACTTATATTTCTTGGATCTTCGCTTTTCAGTCCTACCAGCGGCCGCGACGGCCCCAGAGACTCCCAAAATAATGAGCCCCAGACGGCCCAAGAGGCCCCCCAGAGGGCCCCCAGACGGCCTGAAGAGAGCTTCAAGCAGCACAAGAGAGCTCCAACACGGTCCAAGAAAGTACCCAGGAACCCCGAGGGGGCCACCGGAGGATCCCTACATCGTCGGAGAGGGCCCCAGGAGGGCCCCAAGACGGGCTCAGCTCCCCACGACGAGCCAAGAGGGACCCGGAACGGCCGAACTGGGCTCCCATCGGGGCCTAAGAGACGGGGGTCAGTGCAAACGGGGGTCAGCCATGGCACTGGATCCTGCAGGATCCTGCGAAGACCCCCTCTGGCTGACCCGGGTTAGCGAGCCGCTCGTGGCCGCGAGGCGCCCGCGCATATTGGCTGACCCGGGTTTGCGAAGCCCTGCGTTGCAGTTTTTTTTTCCTGCATTGCAGTTTTTGGTTTCCCGCTGACCCGGGTCTGGATTGACCCGGGTCAGAAGATCCCCGATCCCAGAGTGTCCAAAAAAGGCTTACCAGGACTCCCTGAAGACGGTCCAGGAGGCCGCTGAGAAGGCTCCGGGGTGCAACAAGTGAGCATTTCCAATGGAAAAACGTACATTTCTATGATATTCGCTTCTTATGTTCCATCGGCGGCCACGTCGGCCCCAAAGGCACCCCAGATCGGCGCCACACGGTCCACGAGGTCCCCAAGAGGGCTCCAAAACAGCTTCAAAGAGAGCTCCAAAACAGCCCGAGAGAGTCCCCAGGGGGCCCGAGGGAGCCACCGGAGGACCCCTACATCGTCGGAGAGGGCTCCATGAGGGCCAGACGGGCGAACAAAGGCTTAAAAGGATTCTTTCAAGACGGTCGAAGAGGCCGCCGAGAAGGCCTCCCAAGGGCAAAAACCCAGCATCTCCAATGGAAAAGCGTACATGTTTGAGAAACTCGCTTTTTCAGTCGTTACAGCGGCCACGTCGGCCACAAAGGTTCCAAGAATCAGCCCCCGACAGTCCCAGAGGGCCCCAAGACGGCTTCAAGAGAGTTTCAAGCAGCACAAGATCTCCAAGACGGCCCCAGAGAGTCCAGAGGGGGCCCGCGGGGGCCATCAGAGGATCCCTACATGGTCGGAGAAGGCCCCAAAAGGGCCCCAAGACAGGCTGAGATCCCCATGACGGGCCAAGAGAGACCCGAGACGGCCGAAATGGTCCCCCAGACGGGTTAAAAAAGACCCAACAGATCCCCAAGGAAGGCCCAGAGAGGTCCCCAGAGATTCCCACAAGGCTTCCACCCCATGCGCGTATGGGAGGTCTCGTGTCTGCGTCCTGCAAGACCCATTTCAGGGCTTCCAGAGTTTCCACAGAAACATGCTGCCGGATGCCAGGAAGTAGCCCAAAAACCTCAAACTCACGGTCGAGGTCAGGGGTGTACCGCCATGGGTTGGAGGGCGACATACGCACGTTGGCTTTCGGATTGTTGGTGGAGCTCCCACTGAGACACGATCCGCGTGGGAAACCCAGTCGCCCTGGGGGAGCGTGATGTTAGGCAAATCCTCCCACAGAAGGGCGCGTGCAACCGCGTCCTTCTGACCCACAACAATCCGTGTGATGGGTGCGTTGAGGTGGGCGGAGGGACGCCGTCGTGGCCGTGGGGCTCCTTGCTTCCCTCGGGGTTTGCCAGGGGTCTCCTCTCTGTCCTCTCGTCGTCGTCGTGGTAGTCGCGACAGGAGGAGGAGGAGGAGGAGGAGGAGGAGGAGGAGGAGGAGGAGGAGGAGGAGGAGAGGAGGAGGAGGAGGAGGAGGAGGAGGAGGAGGGGAGGGGGAGGGGGGAGGGGAGGGGGAGGGGGGGGGGGGGGCAGGAGGGAGAGGAGGAGGAGGAGGAGGAGGAGGAGGAGGAGGAGGAGGAGGAGGAGGAGAAGGAGGATCAGGAGGACGAGGAGGAGGATGAAGAGATGTGACAGAAAAGTTGCCACAGGGATACCTGGCTTGTGGCAGCCTCGCGTTCGTAGCGACGTGGCTTCCTGATCCTTCGCTATCAGCTCCTGCCATCATTGAGACGCAGAAGCCCCGAAATGTGAGCTCCAAGACGGCCCAAGAGAGTCCCCGGAGAAGGCCTTAAGAGGGCCCCGAGACGGGCTGAGCTCCCCATGACGGGCAAAGAGGGACCTGGGACGGCCGAAACGGGCCCGCAAACGGGTCAAAGTGGGCTCTAAAGGACTCCCAAAGAATGCCCGGAGAGGTCTCAGAGACTCCCACAATGCATCCAACAGGCTCCATCAACATATGGGAGGTCTCGCGTCTACGTCCTGCAAGATCCATTTCAGGGCTTCCCGAGGCTCCACACAAACATGCTGCAGGGCGCCGGGAATTAGCCCAAACTCCCTGAACTCACGGTCGAGGTCAGAGGTGTACCGCCATGGGTGGGAGGGCGGCATACGCACGTTGGTTTTCGGACTGTCGGTGGAGCTCCCATTGGGACACGATCCGCATGAGAAACTCAGTCGCCCTGGGGGAGCGTGATGTTGCGCGAATCCTCCACAGACGGGTACGTGCAACAGAGGCTTTCTGGCGCACACTACGCGTGATGGGCGCGTTGAGATTGGCAGAGGGACGCCGTCGTGGCTGTGGGGTTCCGTTCCTTGCTTCCCTCGGGGGGTCCCGGGGATCTCTTCTGTCCTCTCCTCGTCGTCGTCGTGACAAGAGGAGGAGGAGGAGGAGGAGGAGGAGGAGGAGGAGGAGGAGGAGGAGGAGGAGGAGGAGGAGGAGGAGGAGGAGGAGGAGGAGGAGGACGAGGACGAGGACGAGGACGAGGACGAGGACGAGGAAGAGGAGGAGGAGGAGGGGGAGGAGGAGGAGGATGAGCATCAGAGGCTCCCTACATGGTCGGAGAGGGCCCCAAGAGGGCCCCCAAACGGCTTCAGCCTCCCATGACAGGCCAAGAGTGACTCGGGACGGCCGAAAAGGATCCCCAGACGGGCCCAAAAAGGCCCAAAATGACTCCCAAGGACGGCCTGGAGAGGTCCCAGAGACTCCCACAATGCGTCCAACAGGCTCCCAGGAGGTCTCCTAGTAGGCCCCCATAAGCGTATGGGAGGTCTCGCGTCTACGTCCTGCAAGATCCATCTCAGGGCTTTCAGAGGCCCCGCAGAAAAATGCTGCGGGGCGCCGGGAAGCAACCGAGATAGAGAGAGGGAGAGAGAGAGAGAGAGGGAAATGGATATAGATATGTATATGGATATGTACATGTATATATATATATATATACACACACTCCTGGGCACGAGGCGGGGGAACCTGGGACAGGGCCCTCGACAGCGCATGGCAGGACCAGGGGTCCCTGGTGCTCTGCCGAGACGGCCCCAGATCTCCAAAATGGCGTTTCCAGGCCGCGAAACGACCAAGGACGGTCCGAGATTACCCAGAAGTCGCCATTGATTGTCCAAGAGGCCTCCAAGACGCCCCAAAAGGACTCCAAGATGCCTTCCAAAGAACCCCAGGAGGCAAACATCGGTGATTTGCTTTTGGTGTTTGGAAGATGTTCGAGTTCTCGCCTTTTCAGTTTCCCGAAGCTTCCCGACGGCCCAAGAGGCCCAAATGTCTGCTCCAAAACAGCCCAAGAGGCCTCGAAGACGGCCACAAGGTGGTCCAAGACCGACAATCCGAGCCTTCCATCCCCAGAGGTTCTCGGGAAGTCCCAAGACGCCCCCAATAGGATCCAAGAGGCCCCCTAAGAAGCTCCCAAGAGTGCCGAAGAGGTTCCAAGAGGCCTCCCAAGAAGAAGGTCCCAATAGGCACAGTTCATCTTTTCCGATTGCTTTTAGCAGTTAAACAGTTTGCAGCCTTTTGGCACCCCGACGCTCCAAGACGGCCCAAGAGGCCACCAAGACAGCTCCAAGATAGCCGAAGAGGCCTCCAAGAGGGCCCCAAGACGGTCCACGAGGGCCCCAAGACTGTGCCTGAGGCGCCCAAGACGGCCCGAGAGGGCCCCAAGACGGCCCCAAGAGAGGCCCAAGAAAGGGAACACGAACCGAAAATCCGAGCTTTCCACCCCGAGAGGTTCTCGGGAAGCTCCAAGAGGCCCCCAATAGGCTCCAAGAGGCCCACAAGAAGCTCCCAAGAGGGCCGACGAGGTTCCAAGAGATTTCCCAAGGTGGTCCCAAGAGGCACAACTCGTCGATTGGGCTGTGACGGGTTAAAAAATTGTCAGCCTTTTGGCATCCCGATGCTACAAGACGGCCCAAGAGGCTTCCAATACCGCTCCAATATAGAGGAAGAGGCTTTCAAGAGGGCCCCAAGACGGCCCACGAGGGCCCCAAGACGGTGCCTGAGGCGCCCAAGACGGCCGGAGAGGGCCTCAAGACAACCCCAAGAGAGGCCCAAGAAGGGGAACGCGAAACCAACAGCAGAGCGTTCCCCCCAAAAGGCCCACAGGAGGCCGCAAGGGGCCCCCAAGTGGTCCGACGAGGACTAGGAGACGTCCAAGAGGCCCTAAAATAGCCCAACAGTCTCCTCGATGCGGCAAAATTGCTTCCAGGAGGCCCCCGGGAGGCTTCCCGATTGCCTCAATGTGGCCCCAGGTGGCCTCAAATCGGGCCTCCACGCAGCCAAGACGGCCAATGACGGCTTCAGATTGCAGAACCGATGCCCCCAATGGACCTTAAGACGCCCCCCCCAAGAAGCACCCAAGAGGTGCCTCCAACAGCCAGTTGAGGAAGTATGCGGTACCCCCCAGAAGCTCCTCAGATGCTGTCACGCGCCTGTGCTTGATAGCGCTATCCAAGACCGTCCAGCGTCCCCCCGGCCTGGGCTAGAACCTGAGCGCGCGCGAAGCGCGCGATGTTTGTAGTACCTATACGACCACCCTTCGGGTGATAAGGAGGTTCGGGGGGAGGAACCAACGTCTCACTCGATCGGTCTCACTATCGATCTCACGATCGATCTCACTATCGGTCTCGCTCGATCGATCTCACTCGATCGAGCTCACAATCGATCTCACTCGATCTATTTCATACGATCGATCTCACAATCGATCTCACTATCGATCTCACAATCGATATCACAATCAACGTCATCAGCATCATCATCAGCATCATCGTCATCAACGTCATCAACATCATCATTATCAGCACCATCTGGACACCATCATCACCATCACCTCATTACCATCATCATCAACATCATCAGCATCACCGTCATCATCATCATCAGCATCATCATCGGGGCCCCATCATCATCATAGGAACACCATCATTGTCGTCATCTCATCATCATGATCATGAACAACATCATCAACATCATCATCATCATCATCATCATCATCGGGACACCGTCATCATCAACATCATCATCAACATCATCATCATCATCATTATCATCATCACCGGAACACCATCATCATAGTCACCTTCATCATCATCGGGGCAGCATCATCATCATCATCAACATCATCGGGACACCATCATCATCAACATCAGCATCATCATCACCATCCTTGGGCCACCATCATCAAAACCATCATCATCACCTCATCCTCATCCTCATCATCAACATCATCATCATCGGGGCACCATCATCGTCATCATCATCAACAGCATCATCATCAACCTCATCATCATCATCACAATCGTCGGGACACCATCATCATCATCATCTTCTTCATCATCATCAAATCAGCTTATCATCATGGACATCATCAGGATCATCAACATCATCATCACCATCGGAGCACCATCATCATCATCGTCATCAACACCATCATCATCGTCGGGGCACCATCCTCATCATCACCATCACCATAATCATCATCATCAGCATCGTCAACATCATCATCACCACCATCATCATCATCATCATCATCATCATCATCATCATCGTCAACATCATCAACATCATCATCATCATCATCATCATCAGCATCGGGACACCGACGGGACACCGGCGGGACACCGGCTGGACACCGCACGACACCGGCCCCAGAGCGGGACACCGGCGGGACACCGCGGGGCACAGGTTGCCGGAAGGGAGAGTTTTGGTCCGGCCGCGCCTCAGCTACAGGAGACTTATTGCTCGCCCGCCCACGCAGCTTCGCCTCGCACGCACGCACGGCACGCACGAACACGAAACCGAAACCGATTCCCCGGTAGGGGGGCTCTCCGTTCCACTTCGATCTCACCCCCTCACCTCCGATACATATATATATATATGTGTATATCTATATATATATATATATATATATAGATCTGTCTGTCTGTCTGTCTGTATGGATGTACGTACGTACGTACGTACGTATGTACGTATGTAAGTATGAACGTATGTACGTATGTCTGTCTGTATGTCAGTTTGTACGTATGTATGCATGCATGCATGCATGCATGCATGTATGTACGTATGTATGTATGTATGTATGTATGTGTATCTATATGCGTGTGTGTGAGTCGGCATTTGGACCTATACGTACATATATATATATATGTGTGAATGTGTGCGTCAGAAACGCGTAGAATGGCCGTGGCTCTACGCGACATTCTATTCGCAGGTTGCGCAGATTCGGCAGGGAAATCAATTATGAGGTCAATCAATTCTGTAAGCGATCCCCTGCTCTAGGGGAGGTGTGGGGTGGCCGAGGGGTAATGTTTTGTGACTTTTCTCGTTATCGCCGGTCTCCACGTTTGTTGTCCATACTGTCGCCAGGGGGGTGAGGGTGGACAGGGTGCAGTTCTGTGTGAGTTGTCTCGTGATCGCCGTGGCCGATGGCGTGCCCCAGGACGCGTTCAGGTAGCACAGCGGGTGTCATCTCTGAACATGCACAATATCGCGCGTGGAGGGCCTGTTTTGGCTTGTCTGAACGCAGCCAGGCATGCAAACGCCTCCGCGCTGCCACGCAATTCGCCAAGGAGCAGCGCCGCCTGGCACGGCGCCGGCAGACGCTTTCGCCAGCCCGGGCACGCGCTCCCCAGCAGTCCTGCTGCCGACGCCGCACTGCCGCCGCAGCGGAGGCAAAAGACGTGGCCGGGCCCGCGCGCAAGGGCGTGCAGCCACCAAGAACGCCCGGCGAAAAACGCGGCCAGCATGTCCCCATTGCTGACGTGCGCATCAACGCCGCTCCAGCGCGGACAGGCCGGCGCTGGCGTCGCCTGGCCAGCGGGGGCGTCAGCCGCTGGGGCGGACGGCGCGCGGGCCCGGGCGCCGCGGCGAACCCTGCGCCAGTCGCGCCGGCGGCGGCGCGCGGCAGGCGGCGCCGCTGCGAGGGCGGCCTTCTGCGCGGCGGCCATGACGCGCTGCGCGGCCTCCAGCAGCACCAGCTTCTGGCAGCGGGTGCGCACCACGTCTGGCGGCGGCGCCCTTCTGGCCGCTGCCGCTGGCCCCCCCCCCTCCCGCGAAAGGCGCTCTCTCGCATCATCATGTGCCGGTGCTGATGTACCGCATCATCATGAGCCGACATGTCCCTGAGGGCGCATCCTTAAGATCGCCACGGCTCTGAGTTTGCCAGTCTCGGGGATATAGGTGAGCTCGAGGCTGGCACCGTGGGCCCCAGACATCCGACGCCGTGCTGTGTTTTCACAGCGTAGCTACCCCTATCCAGGGACCTCGAACACAAAACTGCATCAACATAAACTGTTGGAGCTCCGGGTGGATTTCTGGGATCGGCGCTGGGCCCCCCTCCTTGCGCGCGGAGTGCGCCAGGGGCGGCGCCGGAGGCGCCGCCGGGTGAGCCCAGCGCAGATCCAAGGAATCTGCGCGGAGCACCAAAAGTTTTTGTTTAATTTATGTTGGTTTTTCGTCTTCTAGGACCTAGGACCAGCTTTGACCCTGAGCCGTTGTTTGACGGTCCCGGGTCCCGGCAAGGAAACCTCATTTCTAAGAAGTAAATAGCCAGAACCACGAAACTGTCAAGCACTGGGGCCTCCGATCGAACGTGGACGCGTAGACAAGCTACCTCAGTTCCGTGGCTGCTGCGGCGGCAGGACCTGGTGGCGCTGCTCGGCCGCTGTGGCTTCGCTGTTGGCCGCGCACCGCTGGTGGCGCGCCTTCCTGGCAAGGACCGGCCCGGGCCCTTCCACCGCGGGTGCAGGGCGGCGGCGGTGGCTCCGAGAGGGTCGAAGGCAATCTCCTCTTGCGCCTCGTGTATGGAGCTCCGACCGTAATGTTTTCGCGTCGCACCATCCCAGCGTTCCCCAGCAGTCCAGTGCCCTCTCCACCCTGCCCCCGTCCGCCCCCACCATTTTAAGTTCGCGTCGTACCGCCCCGACCCCCCCCCCCCCCCCCCGGCCCCTCCCCCCCAGCGCTTCCCCCCAGCGTTCCCTGGCAGCCAGTGCTCCCCCCCGCCCCTCCCCCTGCCACACCCCTCCGCCCGACCACTTGATTTTCGCGTCGCACCGCCTCCCCCCATCCTCCGCCTAGCGTTCCCAAGCAGCCCAGTGTTCGCCAGCATCGCAGCGTTCCCCAGCAAACCAGTCCCCCCTCCGCCCGGTGCCCCCTCCGTGCCAGCCACCTCCGCCCCAGCCACCTCCGCCCCGACCAGTTTCTGTGCGCGCGCACGGCCAGCCCGGTGCCCCCTCCGCCCAGTGTCCCCTCCACCCGGATCATTTTATTTTCGCGCCGTGCCGCCCCCTTCCCCCCGCAGCGTTCCCCTGCAGCCCAGCGTGCCCCAGCAGCCCAGTGTTCCGCAGCAGCCCAGTGCCCGTTCCGCCCCGTGCCCCCTCCGCTCCGACCCCCCAGCGTTCCCCAGCAGCCCAGAGCCCCCCCCCTCCGCCTCTTGCCCATTCCTCCTCCTCCGCCTTTTCATCCCCTGTGTGCAAGAGCCTTGGCACGCGTGCCATTTGTTTCTCGGAGAACGGGGACAGATTTCGGGCCTCCCTGGCGTTTGGCGTCCGTGTCGGGGCCTGCTGGAGGCTCCTCGTCGTCACGGCTGGATCCGCTTCTGAAGACGACTCAGGATGGCCCCCGGGAGGCGTCCGCTGACCGATCTTGAGTGGTCAGTCGGTCCAGGCAGGAGAGCCAGCCGTTGTGTCAATTGGTTGTCCAGTTTTTTGTGCATTTATTCATTGATTCATGTTTGTTGTTTCTCTCTCTCTCTCTCTCTCTTTTTGTTTCTCTCTCTCTCTCTCTCTCTCTCGATTACACGAAGAGTGACCTTTCGCCAGAGTGACCTTGGGTGCGGGCCCAAGGGGGTCCCCCGATCGCTGAACGCGAAGTGGTAGCAGCGGCTTGCGCGCCCAGATTTGGCCACCCCGCGTCCCCCGTTACGTAAGTCGCGCACGTCACTCTTGCCCAGGCTCACTCGTGTAGCCGACTCTCTCCCAGCCCCCGAGATTCCCAAAACATATTGGTCGCTCAGAAAAGAAGGGAACCTCGGGAGTGGGTAGATGGGAGGCTGTTCGACATGGGCCCGCCCCCCCAAATCGCAGGTCCTTGAGATCGGCCCCAATGATTTCCAGTCGAGAGGTTGACACAGTCGAGGATTAGGATTGCCATACCCCGTCAGATGATCTAGGATCGAATATCACAATTTGTGGATGGTCGGAGGGATCTTGGTGGCAAGCAGTGACCAGGCGCCCAGGTCTGCCGCCACAGGCAGAAAACGACAACAAGGTTAGAAGAAACGTTTGTGGTCTCTATGAACTACCACCAGACCATGTTTGGAGGAGGCAGTCTTGCTTTGAAGCGCCGGACTGGTGTTAAATGACCAGCGTGTTGTCTAACTCTATGCCATTCTCTTCTGCTCCATGAACATGCCGTGGTGGGCCTACTAGGAGTTACTAGGACCAGGAATACTGCGTTGGTCGGTCCCTGCTCCATGATGGGCATCCAATCGAGCTTGATGAATAAGTCGACCATGCCAAATGGAGGGTACCCTTGTGTCCTGTCTATCCCGACCCATGCAGCCCGCATGTCCTTACGTAGGTGTTCTTGGGCCACGTTACCGTCGGAAGAGTCTTGTGTCCTCTCGCGCGTCCTCTCCAATCAAGTCCGACTGTCTCTGGGCGCCCTTGGGGCCACGGCTGGATCCGCCCCGAAGCCCCGCACGAGCGCAGCCCAGCTCTCGGCTATACGGACCTCCTCCCGACCGCCGACCCCCGAGCCGCCCGACCCGGGCACCCCCCGCAGTCCGAAGGCGACGCCCCCCCCTCTCGGCGGCTTCTCCGAGAGTTCTTCCTTGGGGTGGACTCCGCTCGTTTTTGGGACTGTCGAGCACGGGCCCGGTGTGTTTTCCCAGAGCTTCGGTTTCGGTGTGGGGCGCGCCCGAGCTTCCAGGCAGTCGAACACGGATACACGGCGGGAGCCTGCCCCCCGGGGGAATCGGTCGGGATTTCTGGGGCCACGGAAGTCGCCGTCGTCGTCGTCGTCCGACTCGGCCCCCGACTTCTCCTCCTCCTCCTCCGGCGACCTTCGGCGGCCCAGGCGGCGGCGTGGAGATCGTCGTTCTTCCTCTTCCTCCTCCTCCTTCTCCTCCTCCTGTCGAACAGAGGTGGCTGTCTCGGGCATGTTGACCACACATACCATCCACCAAACGACTCCTCCGCCCGCCTGCGCGCCTCTGGCTGTGGCGCAGCACGGCGGCCCGGCGGCCTCGCAGCATGGTTGCCTGGTGACTCAAGCGCAGCTCGCGGAGGCCCTCGAGGCGATCCGCCGGCGTTCGGGCAGCAGCTGGACGCCGTTCGCGAGGCGCGGCGCTCGGGCAACCCTTCGGCAGACTGGCCTCTGAAGGTGGTGCCTGTTGCGGGCTCGGGAGCCGACCCCAGACCTGTCACCACCAAGGAGGAGTGGGGCAGCGGCGACGTCAGCATCGTCGTCGCGGCAAGCTGGCAGTGCGTGGCGGAGCTGCAGCCTGGCGATGCCGGGACAGCGTCGGCGGACAAGGCTGGCGGCACAGGGGAGGAGGTCGCCTTCGCCGGGAGCATTTGGGACGCCGCGGTGTTCATCGGGTGCCCACAGGTGGGTACATGTGGCTCGGTGTTCACAGTGGCTGCGCTTTTACTCAAAATTTGGATGCAGGTTGTGTTTTGCCTGATCGTAAACGACAACCTGACGGCACCCAAGATCGATTCTTCAACAGTTCAAGATCTCCGAGTTTGGTGGACGTCAACAATAGCACAGAATGAGCAACTCTTGGACTCCCTCACACAAGGATTGCTGACACGAAAAGCATGAATGTTTCAGTTACCCCATTAACTGCTGGGCCAAATGCTGGGCTAGCAGCAATCAGCGAGTACAGTCCGCTCCCAGAGGAAAAACAATATCGCGGACGCCCCCACTCAATTTTGTATGTTTGATTATTTCGCAAGTGTTGGCGAATTGATGTGTTGCGTATCGCTGACCCTCGTGTGGCTTGCAGTCCTGGAAGAGACCTTTTGGATTGCCAATTTGGGCCAGCACTGCCACCAGGCCGTCGCACCAAAATATCGAAGACGCCTCCGGCGGGCCACCACCGCCGCCCGTGGCCGAAAGCCCACGTTCGTTCCTGGTGGTGGTTTCTTGAAGGCATCTTGGCACCTCCTGGGTGGTGACTGCGACCTCCTTCTGAGGCAATATGTGGGGCCCTCTGTGCCCGTCTTGGGTGTGTCGCTTCGAACGAACGAAAGAGAAGCCGCGTCCAGACGGCGCATTGGCAGACTATTTAATAGCACATGCGATCATGAAACATGCAGGGGGGGGCGTTGTAGTCCATCCTGGGGCGCTCTTGAGCCGCCCTTGGCGCTCTCTTCTGTGTCCGTTGGGCCATGGAGGCGGCGTCGGGTGCCATGCCTGTGGCGTCTCAGACCCAGTCGGGGTATCTTGCGCCATTTGCAGCTTTTATTTGGCCCCTCTGCCGATGGCGCCAGGACGCTATCTGGGGCCCTCCGGAGCACCATCTTGTGGCCAGCTTAGGCCAAGTGAAGGCCTGGGGGGCCGGTCAGAAGCCGAAAAGGTGAAAACGAGCAAGATCGTCAAATGATGCCAGCACGTGGACACCAAACATCGACTTTGTGTGTGTGGTGCAAGGGTGCAAGCTATGGGGTGCATCATGGGAGGGGCAATCTATGGACCGCAGTAGAAGTGCTCAGGGATGCCCAGGGTTGATCCCGGTGGCGACGGCGGCAACGGCGACGGGCGACTGCCAGTGTCGTTGGGGGCGCGCGAGGCGTGGGGGCAATGCCCAGGGCGACGGTGGCAACAATGGCGAAGTGCGGCACCCAGGGCCAGCGGGGAAAGCGAAATGTGCTGAATACTCGGAGCCCCATGCGGCGACTGCGGCGCCGGCGACGACGTGCAACACTTGGGATGTTGGGTGGTGCGAAGTTTGGGCGGGGAATGCCCAGGCCCCACGCGGCGGCGACCCCGGCGACACGTGCGACATTCAGCCCCAGTCTACCGCAAGGAAAATAGCAGAAACCCTCAGTGCAAGCAACGGGCGCCCCCCCGGTAGACCATACGCAAATCCAGTTTGCTACAAGGCAGTCGTCTGGGGACAAGGGCCACCCCTCCCCTCCATGGACGATACTCCCCCCCTCCGTTCCTCGACAAGGCCCCAGCGCCAGGGGCGCGGTTGGACCTACGTCGCTTGCGGTTGACGTCGAACGCCCTTCGAAAATACATTGCACGTCATCTCTTGCAGATGCTCCTTGAAGTTCCTAGGCTGCGTCGGCCCTTGTTCAGGGACGTGTGGGCGGTTGTCTTGGAGCCCGTCGAGCTTCCCAGGGCGCCTGTGGAGTTCCTGGGGATGCCATACTACGGCTTCCCTGGGGGGCATATTTCAGCGATTTTGGGGCTATGATGCCCAGCAGAAGCGGAATAGGCGACAATTTGTTTCATGAATGCATCTCCGACATTTTGTTGGTTTTTGAGTTCGGGAGGGTGGGGGGAGGCGAAAGATAACCCCCTATAGAAACGATGTCCCGCCACTTCCGACGCCTGTTTGCGCGAAGCGGTCCCAGCGCACCGGTCGCGGTTAGGCGGAGACGCCTCCAGGGAGTCGCCCTCTGTGGCCGAAAAGCGGGCCTTGGGGGGGGGCTGCTCCCCACCCGGCAGGTTGGGGTTTCAGATTTTCGGAATAGACCTCCCGACCCGTCCACCCTGCATACCGCGGCCGCCAGATCCCCAGGTCCCCCGAGTGTCCCCGAGAGTCCCGGCTCGCGCCGCTCTGCATACCGCGGCCGCCAGATCCCTAGGTCCCCCGAGTGTCCCCGAAAATTTCGCCTCGCGCCACTCTGCAGACTGCTGCGGCCGCCAGATCCCCAGGTCCCCGAGTGTCCCCGAGAGTTTCGCCTCGCGCCGAGCTCCGTGACAACACGCTACGGGTTGCGTGTTGCGTGTCGGGGCGGCTAATCTGCTCTCTCATCCTCAGCTTTCCTCATATGTCTCTCCGCCCGCGAGGACCCCATGGCGCTATTCCGGCTGCCCGGCGGGGGCGGTCTCCTCACCTATTGCAGGCCAGAGGGTTTCTTCGTGCACACGCTTAACACCGAGAGCGGGCTCGCACGGAAGGCCTGGGGGGCGCTGGGGAGGATTGGCGGGGTTCAGGTTTCCCTGGTGGGGTCAGAGTGGATGGGGTCGAGGATCGCGTCGCATCGCCGATACATCGGCAGTGTGGCTCGATGTGGAGCCCTGTTTTCTCCACGCCAGCGGTGCCGGTCTGTGCCGCTGCAGAAGTGACGTTGCCGGTGCATCGGCGACGCCTTGGCGATGCGGCGCGATCCTCCGACCCTGTCCATGCGGAGAGCATCGAAGGCGGCCTCTTGCGGGGAGGGCGAGGGCCTGCGCCTGCCCCGAGTTGCATCACCTGGGCACCAGAGGGGCGCTCCTTCACCTGCCGCGGCTGCACGAGGCCAGCTGCCGCGCGCATCACACCGTCGGCCTGCGCGCTCGTGCCCGCGGATGGCCTCTCCCCCCCCCCGCACGCGCCCTTTGAGGACCGGTGATCGACCCCTCCTCTCTAGACCCCCCCTCTCCAGACCCCCCCTCTGCCAACCCCCACATCCCCGCTCTCGTCCCCGCGCCCCCCCCATCCCCTCTTCCCTCCTTTCCTCCCTCCCCCCTTCCTGCCTCTCTCCTCCTTCCTTTCTTTGTCCAGCGGAGTCGGATCGGTAGACGGAGGTCGGCGACGCCAGATCGGAAGAACATTGAAGAGCGGGTCGGGTCGGAGAGCGGGGTTGGGCATAGGCAAGGCCTAGGCGAAGGGGAAGGAACCAGGGGGAGGGACGCGGGGGCCTCCCGAGTGGGGCAGGAGCAGACGGGGTCGGACGGCGGAGGATCGCGCCACATCGCCGGTGCATCCAGGGGATCCAACGAGCAATGACATCAGCATGGGGGTGCGTGCAGATGAATGATGTAAAATAGCGGGCCCTGTCGTGGACCCCAACCCTCTCGGTGCGTGGGCGCGTGGATAATCGCGCTTCGCCCCGCGGGGGTCCTTGCTCCGTCGTGCTTGCACTGTTTTGGGAAATTGCACTGCGGTGCCGAACAGCTTCTCTGTAGCTGCTCCGTTTTGGCTGAGTGGTTTCTCTTCGACCTGCGGCCTCGAGCTGCATGCGGCCCGGGTACCTCCCGCAGATCCTCAGTGGCCCGATAGCCGCGGGGCTTCTCGCGCTGAGCACGCGGAGGCAGCCCTGCCCCGTTCCCCCGGAGCCGCCGAGCTGCCCAGAGACGTGCGCGGAGGCACCGCCCTGCGTGTGCCCAGGGGCGCCGGCGTGCGTGTGCCCGGAGCCTGCGGCCTGCCCGCCGACGGAGCTCGGCTGGGAGGAGGTGCTGATCTGGTACGATGGGGACGACGTTTACCACGAGCGGGTGGCCTTGTGACCGCAGACGCACGCCAGATGGGTCATCCTGACCCCTGACTTTGACATGTATTCGGAGATGCTAGACGGCAGCGAGGGCGTCGACGGCGTGGTACGGATCGTCGGCCTGCGCCCAGACGGGCGTCTTCCCCGGCTCGACAAGCCCGCCTACAGGTTCAAGCAGGCGCTCGACCTGGACGCCCTGAAGGGGTACATCCGCGAGGGCCGACGCCTGGCCCTGCAGGACGGTGCCGCGGCGGGTGACCCGCCGATTGAGGTCGCGGACGTGGTGATGCCCAATCGTGAGGTGGTGCCGCTGGACAGCCTGGTCGGCGGCCGCTTCCTGCCTCGCCGCCTCCCCTTGCGCCGCGGCTCAGCGGCGGCGGCGGGTGGGGCCGACGACGGGCCCCCTGGCGACGCGGCTGCCGGCTCCGACGCGGGCGCGGCCCCTGCGCTGGCGGCTGTCGGCGACGACGCCAGCCCAGTGTATCCCCAGGCGGGGCCGCTGGACACGCCGCGTGGCCACGCGTGGGAACTCATGGAGGGCGGCCGCGCTGGCAACCTGGGCGACGAGGTGGTGCTGGGACCAGACGACTTCAGGCTCTCGGACTACGACGCGATGATCCTCCGCCGGGGGCAGGGCCGCCGGGCCGAGCTCGTCCCCCTTCACGGAAGTGGACGAGTTCGGGCGAGCCCGCCGAGAGGAGCTGGCCGACCAGCTGAGGCCAGCTGGGGCAGCTCCACTGGTTCCTCCCATGGGACCGCCGCCTGGGCCGTCGGCCGAGGCGCCCGAGGGTGCGGACGCCGCCGGTGGCACAGCCACGCCGCCTCCAGTGGCGGGGGACGCTTGCACGCTGTGGATCGACTACGATGAGCAGGGCGAGAGGTACAAGCCATACCGCAAGGCGGTGCAGGAGAGCTTCCACGTGCCTGACCAGCATTGGCCCCTCGAGGGCCCGTCGACGTACTTGCAGGTGATGAAGCACATCGAGAGGACGGGAGGTGACCCGCGTCTGTGGCTGCAGCTGTGGGCTCGTGCAAAGCAGGTGGACGTGAATGATCGGGTGATGCACGAGCTGAACTTTCTCGTGGATATGATGTTCTACGCCTCCACCTTTGACCAGCTGAATGCCCCCGCGCTCGCCAGTTTCGAGGTGCTGGCGCGACGGTTCCAGACCATCCTAGATGCGCACAGGATCCCGGGGCGAGCCCCGAACTGGCAGATGGCTCGCTTCTACAGTGGAGTGACCGCGGCGGTGGATGCCATCGCGCCCGAGCTGCGGCAGTACGGCGCGAAGCGGGCGAAGGAGGAGATCGACATGGAGACGGGGGCCCAGCGGGTTCGCGGCCTCCCTGGAGGTGGCGGTGGAGCCGGCGGTGACGACGCGCTCGAGGGCACTGCCGGTGAGGGGCCAAGGGGCCGAGGACGAGGACGCGGTGACGGCGGTCGCGGGCGTGGCAGGGGCGCATTGCCCAAGGCCGGGAGCCCCGCGGCCGCCGAGAAATCATGAGCGAGGAGATCGCCGAGGGGAGTGGGCCCCCTCTCGGCGCGCAGCTGACTTGGCCCGGTGCTGGGCGCCTTCCAGCCTCTCGCGGAGAACGCCACCTGTTCCCTTTGCCGCGGCTGGAGGAGCCACGTGCAGCGCGTGGAGGCGGTCGTCTTAGCCGCGGGCTGCGAGGCCGCTATTTGCACATACGACTGGTCAACAGGGCGATCGACGCCCTGAACTGGTTGGTGAAGGCGGCCGGCTCGCCTGCAGCCGGCAGCGGCGGCGACGCGGACATCCGCAGCGAAGTGACTGCGCGCGTCGATGGACTGGTACGAGCCCAGGAGCCGGTGCCTGACGCGCCTTGGCCGAGAGCGGCCTACCTAGAGCTGCTCCGAGGTCGCGGGTCCTACGAGGAGCTGGGCCAGCCGAACATGGCTCCCTTCCAGCTCGGGCTCGTGTCACTGCCGGAGAGCACCCAGGACGCCCCGCGCCTGGAGCGGCTTCTCGACGCAGAGGGCTTACGTTTTCTGGAGGGTCGTGGAGAGCGGATGCAACGAAGTGTCCCAGACTTTGAACGCCTCCGACGGAGGGATCCAGCGCGGCCTCACTTGGACCCAGCGTTCACAAAGGGTAGGCGGCTTCTGGTTCGATTCATGAAGAGGCTGCATTCCAGTGGCATGCTACGATATACGTCGGAGCCTGTTGAATTTGTCGGAGCCTTTTTCGTCTGGAAGAAGGGAAGACAGAAGATGCGGATGATTACAGATGCACGCCCTACCAACGGCTACTACCTCCACCTCGAGTGGACCTGCTGACGGCGGAGGGCCTCTCGCGCCTCGAGGTCGCCGTGGACGGCGACCCGTGCCTGCTGAAGGACTCGAGCTGGGGCATCCTGCCGGCGCTCCGCCTGTGCCTCGGCGTCGGCGACGTGGAGAACTGCTTTCACAGGATGGTGATGCCGCCCTGGATGAGCCCCCATTTTCGCCTTCCCCGCCCTGACTGTTAGCGAGCTCCGCCTAGACTCAGTGGAGACGGTGGAGGGCCGCGCGGCAAGCGGCGATGATGTGGTGTACCCCTGCTGCCGAGCCCTGCCTATGGGATGTTCGTGGTCGTTGTACTTCTGCCAGAACGCCAGCGCGAACCTGGCGAGGCAGTGCGACCTGCTGCGGGAGGCTCGGCTCGCGACCGACCGCGGCGAGCCCATGGTGTTCAGATTGGGCGGGGCTCGTGGGCAGGACCTCTGTCACTACGTGTGCGTGGACAACCTGGGCGTGCTGGGGCAGGACGCGAGTTCAGTCAAGAGGGCGCTGGGCGAGAAGGTGGCGGCCTTCAACAAGATGAAGCTCGACATCCATGAAGTGGAGTTCTTCGAGAGGAAGGGGTCGGCTCTCGGCGTCGTCGTGGACTGCGAGCGCCTCTGTACCTCCATCACCAGCAAGCGGCGCTGCCGCCTGGAGAGGGCTCTGGCCTACGCGTTGCAGCGAGGCAGACTCTCGGGCCAGGATTTGGAGTGCCTACTGCACGTACGCGGGCCTGGTGAGGCGAGAGGTGCTCTGCGTCTTCTCCGCCTGCTACGCCTTCGTGCAGGCCAACTACTGGGAGCGGCAGGTGATGTGGGCGTCCGTCCGCGAGGAGCTCAGCTGCTTCCGGGGCCTCCTCGTCTTCCTCAGCAGCGACTGGGCGCTGCCCTGGAACCGCTGTGTCACGGCGTCGGACGCGTCCGAGAGCGGCTTCGGCGTTGCCTCCACTATGGTGGGCGTCAGGGAGGTCGCTCGGGTCGGGCGCGCGGCCGAGCGGAGCCGCTTCCGCCTCGACCTGGAGCTAGCGCCGCGGCAGCGGGCTATGCGGCATGCGGGCTTCGTCGATGACGGCGGCTCCGGTCCTTGGCGCCCTTCGGCGCCCGAGAAGGCATCGGACGGCGCCTGGGCCATCGACGAGAGTTTCGAGGAAGTGCCGGCCGGGTGGCTGGACCAGGGACGCTTGGCCGTCTGCCGCAGCGGGACCTGGGATAGGGCTGAGGGCATCGCCATTTTGGAAGCCCGCGCAGTCCTGGCCTCGGTGCGCCGCCTCGCCCAGTCGCGGTGGGGCCACGACATCAGGCGCGTGCATCTTTGCGACAACATGGGAGTCGTGCTGTCGATCTGTCGGTCTCGATCAAAAGAGTTCTCGATGTTGGCAGTCATCAGACGCATCAATGCGTACCTCCTAGCTCGCAACATCC